ACATTAACCTGATGCCCAATCAAAGATTTCAAATGAGATTATTGTTGATGTTATCATATTCATGGATGTTACACTTGAAACTGTTCAGAAACAGATTTCCCAAGTGTCTGTTTTTTCAAAATATTTTTGTGAAAGATGATATTTCTGGACATTTAGTGTTCCAGTTATCTTTTGACTTTAGTAAATGCTTGAATTTCCCAAGTGTCTTTTTCTTTTAAATATTTTTGTAACAGATAACAGTTCTTGACAATACAACATTTAATGTCACAATTTTCTTCTGACATTTGTATGTGTAAGTGTGAGTGGAAACAAAGACTGGCACAGTCTGGGCAATTTATTTCTTCTTAAATTTAAAATTAAATAAAAAAAAAATAGCGAAATGGAGGTGTTAACGCGAAATCTTCTGTAACTGCAAAATCACCCCATAAATCAACAAGTTGTGGTGGTTTTGCATTCACCCATAGACCTTCCAGTAGAGGAGGGTTCATGGTTCACCTCACCTTTCGCAAACTAAAAAAAATCACCACAGCTGGGCCAGTCTCGCGGAAACAGTATAGTGTATTTTTCTACAATAACGCCATTTCATGTCTGGGACTACATTTTTACTTGACGTGACTGTGCAACTATTTTCATAATGGTACTATGGCAATTTAATGCAATATCCTGGCGTTAACCAGACTAGATCGAATACACACACCTCGCCTGTAATTAAAGTAGATCCAAAAGTCTGTTCTTGTATAAATCTCAGTGACTGTAAAAGTACTGGTAACTTTAGTAGTGTTCACGCTACATAAAGACCATGCTCAGATTTAAGATAATCTCATACGTTTTCATATCGGATAAACCCAAATGCAGTCACGTACAGGAGGAAACAGCAGTTAGCACAGGCTAAGGAACGCCCAAACGTATTGAGAATAAACAAAAATCTTTATTCATTTTAACTATGATTACTATTACAGTAACTATTTTAGTTCTACAGTTATAAATCTATACCAACGCAAATTCAGATGTAGATTGCAGAATAACAGGAAGTAGCACAGAGTCTCATCGTCAGTTTATTTTTCTAGAGAACAATCTCTCTTATGTATGTTTGCATTTTGGAAATGGCACACCAAAATAAATAGTCATGGATGTAATAGGAAATCTTTCGAATGAACATTGAATACAATGGCGTTTGGGGCACTTAGCCCGAGCTAAGCATTCACGCACACTTCGTTAGCCCATGCTAAGGATCTAGACCGTGTCTTAAAAACAAGCCAGATTTAATCTGTACTTAGTGCGTGATAAGCATTCACGCAGGTTTTCTTAGCATGGGCTACGGCATTTGACCTCTCCTGCTGAGGAGCTGTGCGTTACGCTACTTATAAGGTCTGTGTAGGCTGTCCAAATAAATAGGTATTCGTCCAGATAAAGTTTTAATCATTGTTTGAAAGACATATTTTCTGAACTAACCAATAGCATATCACCTAACAACTTTTTGTATACCTGAATAGGTATTAGTTTAATAATAACAAGTTATTCAAAAAATATGTTTTGTCCTAAAATCAGTAAGTTCTAAAAATAAACAAAGTTGTTCCAAAATTGCGTAAATGACAATATTTACCATTTTTAGTTTAAACTATCAGTTGCAGACAAACTATTTTTTATCATCAAAATTGTTGTCCATACCACGCATATCTCATGATAAAGTTGAACATAATTTCATAGCAGAGAAACAGACAGCCAATCAGACAGAAAACCTCCGTAGACATTTGGGCTGCAGGGCTAAAATGTACAGAAAAGTCACTATGTTTTGTCAATAACTAACATGTTCTAGTGATGTGATCTACCCAGTAAATCTATCTCAAACATAAATGAATGAAATATTTGTTTTTGTTGTTTTTTTCAAATTCTCAAGCAAAAATAAAAACTTTCTTTCAAAAAATCTCATTGCTATAAATACATGATAAATAGTTATTGAAAAATAATAAAAAAAAAATTGAACTTTTTGCAGCAAATTCTAAAATGCATTGCATTGGCTAAAAAGTTCATGTTTGTTATTTCATCAAATTATTTGCATATTACATAATTAGAGACATTCATTATGTCTTTATGTATTCGTCTTCATTAGACTTGTTCATTGGTCAAACCAATTCCTTCACATTCAATCTTGTTTTGATTGGAATCTCCAATTGGTGTAACTGTAAATTTTGCCTACAAAATAAGAATTCAGAAACATAAATTTTTGTGATCTACAGTTGTCACAAATTGATGTTAATAATGCCATGGTGGTGTTGGGGTGTAGTGGTGTTGGGGTGCAGCAGTGTTGGGGTGCAGCGGTGTTGGGGTGCAGCGGTGTTGGGGTGCAGCGGTGTTGGGGTGCAGCGGTGCAGTGGTGTTGGGGTGCAGTGGTGTTGGGGTGCAGTGGTGTTGGGGTGCAGCGGTGTTGGGGTGTTGGGGTGCAGTGGTGTTGGGGTGCAGTGGTGTTGGGGTGCAGTGGTGTTAGTTGCAGTGGTGTTGGGGTGCAGTGGTGTTAGTTGCAGTGGTGTTAGTTGCAGTGGTGTTAGTTGCAGTGGTGTTAGTTGCAGTGGTGTTAGTTGCAGTGGTGTTAGTTGCAGTGGTGTTGGGGTGCAGTGGTGTTGGGGTGCAGTGGTGCTGGGGTGCAGTGGTGTTGGGGTGCAGTGGTGCAGCGGTGTTGGGGTGCAGTGGTGTTGGGGTGCAGTGGTGTTGGGGTGCAGCGGTGCAGTGGTGTTGGGGTGCAGCAGTGTTGGGGTGCAGCGGTGTTGGGGTGCAGCGGTGTTGGGGTGCAGCGGTGTTGGGGTGCAGCGGTGATGGGGTGCAGCGGTGATGGGGTGCAGCGGTGATGGGGTGCAGAGGTGATGGGGTGCAGCGGTGAT